AGTTGCACCGACAAACATTTCTCGAAAGCTGGGCTTAAAGCCCAGCTGGATGGGGATTAATGACAGGTGACTGGGGACGGGCTTGGAATTAAAGGGAGCTGGGCAAATAAGGAGGCGGCGGGCTTTTGACAGAGGGCGAGAGGAATTAATGGGTCGGTGGCGTGTGGTTATTCAAGGGGAGGAGATTTGTTGAACGGGCCAAGGGGAGACAGAATTAATTGGCGGCCAGGAATTAAAAAAATAAAAAAGAAGGGACCAAGATTTCTCCCGGGACACGGAAATTAATATTGGCGGCCAAAGCAATTAACGAGAGGGCACTTAATTTTGGAGGAGGCGAAAATTTTATTCTTTGGCGAAGAGATTTTTGGACGAAGAATTCTTTTGGAGAAAGAATAGAAAGGAGACGCAGCGCAAGGCAGCAGAGAAACAACAGGCGATTGAGAATTTGACGATCGACTCATCCAAGGCTTGAGCTGAATTCAACGAGAGCGATTAGTTGGTTGGATTTTCTGAACTGAACTAGTTGTGTATTGTTGATTTAGAACATGATGAACAAAAACCTATCGATTTATCTCAATTTCGTCATGAACTAAACCCCAATTTCTGGGGGGAAACACCATAGGATGTAGCTATTTCTTGATTTGATGGATTGATTTATGATTGTTTTCTTCCAATCTCTATTGCATGAAATTGCTTAATGCTTTGTGTTGACTGGCCACCAATACAACGATTTGTAGTTAATTAGGTTATTAGCGACAGTGAAACCCTATTAACTGAACATATTTCATGTGACATAGTAACTTATCGAAGCGACAGTGGATTAAATAAGGTGCTATGCGGTCTTAAATAGGATATCGATCTTCAGGCTAAATAATTAAGTCATTGAGCTACGACAGTAGGATTTGAAATAATTGTTTAGTACGTAGCAATTCCCGACAGGGATAGCTAGGACATTCGTGATATCCTGGCTGTAGAGGTATGGATTAAATTGATTGGAATGTGTGAATTAATCTGGATAGGATAGGTAGTGAATCCCGGTGTTTCTCCCAGAGCTTCTCCCATTGAATTAAACCCGACATTTTAATTTGCTTGTTTTGTTTAATTACTTTGCTAGTAGATCATAGTTTCATCTCATTAAATCATTTTCACCTATAGTTTGCTCTATAGAATTGATAAATCATAAGGTTGTACCAGTCCGTGAGAGACGATACCGGGACTTTCCGGTTTACTACAAGATAGGAATTGAAGCTATACGCTTTTGCCCTATCACTCATAGTCACTCAAAACTTCTGTGTTCAAAAATATTGTTGCTTTATGGTAGTTATATTATCTATTTCAAGAATTCGGCATCGCTTCTACACATTCAATACTACAATTTGATGTGCATTATTTGCACCAATGACATTAGGCTTGCGATTTTAAAATTATTCTCCTTTTAAAGGACAAATAAAAATATAATTAATTATTAAACTCGAATTAAAATAGTTAAAGTATGAAAATAGAAGTATCAAATGCCAAAAAATATTTAGGGGAGAGTTAGTGGCTTAGCTAATTATGATGGAAAATTCTAAGATTTTTCAGATTTAAACTTCCTGTATATTTTTAATTTAAAAAGTTTAAACAAATTTGTTTAATGTAACTGATTATGCAGGGGCGGACCTAAGGCAAGAGACGACACACCCTCGCTCGAGAATTTTCTGAAGGACCTACATATTTTTGGTACAAAAATTTTTATTTCGAGATAGTCGACACACCTTCAATAATTATAGCCGACACACCTTCATTATACTCGAAGAATTTATTATCCGAATGAATCAATCTTAATCATAATCCTTTTTATTTTTGTTTAACATAACTCATAAATCATAATCCTATCAATCCCTGTTAAAAAAAACAAACTCTCAGCCCATACAATATACATGTTTAATGTGTGTTGGGCCTCGGTCTATAATTAAAATAGAAAAAAGAATCCATAGGCCTAATGCCCAATAGCCCAGGCGGCCACTAACTCCCTATCGTTACCTGTTGCAACGGCAAGCTGCCAAAGAACATTTTTAGCTATGAAGATAATCAAGAATGATCTTCGAAATCGGTTGAGTGACCAATTTATGAATGATTGTTTAGTTCTGTATATTGAAAAAGATTTGCTTTGCAGTATAAGTGATTAATGTATTTTAGAGACATTTCAGTAGATGAAAAGTCATCGCGATTCGTTGTAAACATGACATTATGAACTTTATGAATTAATTTTTTTAAATTTCTATTTAATTTTTATATTTAATTTAATTATTATTGTATTTTATCGCCGACACACCTCTTTGACAATCCTGGGTCCGCCATTGTGATTATGTTTCTTGTATTTTCTTAAAGAGATCAAAATTCAAATACCATCACTTATGTATTTTTCCTGTAAATAAGAAAATAATAAATTGCTGTGAAGACCTACTTTTGCTATGGATTCAATGATTTTGTAATGGGGGAAGCACCTTTCCCATTTCACTATGATATTAGATGTAGCGAAAGTAACCCGGGTGGTTGAGCATTTAGTGGGTTGGAAACTATTTGGGTCTGGTTCTATGTTTAAAAATATAATTACTTTATGGTAGTTATAACAATTAAGTATATTTTAAGAATTCTACATCGCTTCTACACATTCATGAGTGCAATTCGATATGCAATATTTGAATCAATGACATTTCGATTGCTAACTGTCGTGGAAAAGTCTTATGATTTTACATATTTAAGCTTCCGGTATGTTTTTAATTGAAAAAGGGCTAAATTACATATTTGGTCACTTAAATTACATAAATCTTTCACATTTGCCACCCGAATCACTTTTCTTTCTTATTAGCCACTAACTTTACGAATCGTTTCACCGTTAGTTACTGACCATCAGTCTCTGTCAGTGTCCGTTAACTAGGGTTGTCAGTTCGGGTCGGGTAACCAAACCCGAAAACCGAAAAAAACCGAAAACCCGAAACCGGCTCCCACAAACTCGAAACCGAAACCGGACCTGTGTTTTGCGGGTTGCGGGTACAGGAACCCACAAAATGCACTGGTGGTTTTGGTTCGGTTCGGGTGAACTCGAAACCGAACCGGTTTGAATTTTTTTTAATACTTTTGTAATTTGAATTTTATATTCTTTTGTTTGTACAAACAATTTTATCTTATTATTTGTACATTCTTAAATATAAAACATACTATTTTATTCTTATTAGTTAATTATTAAAATATTATTCTTATTATTTGTACATTCTTTTGTTTGTACAAACAATTTTATTCTTATTAGTTAATTATTAAAATATTTAATTTTATGTATTCTATAACTATAGACATACTATTATAATTTTATGTATTGCTATGTTAAGTAATACAACCTTTTGGGCCATTTAATTGTGGTTTTTCATATAATTAAATGTTTTAGTAATACCATAGGTCCAAAATGGAAGGTACTATTGATAGACCGTCATTTACACATGTTTTTACCCCCATTCTTACACCGTTTGAGGTGTTGATTCTCGTGTTTTAGGCCGATTTCACGCTAGGTTGTGCTTGTTTGTGATGTTTCAGGTCCTAGTACGTGAATGAAGGCTTAGGAGCGAGTCTGGGGTCGATTGGACGAAGAACGGACGAATGGCGAGGTTTTTGGGGAGCTGCACGGGCAGACCAGGGAGGCTGCACGGCCGTGCACGTGAGCAATATGGCCGTGCGCCTTATGCCGAGGACACGCACGGGCAACCCCTGAAGCTCGCACGGCCGTGCACCCTGGCCGTGCGAGAGGGCTAAGTTCGACTAAATGACACGCTGCGTTTTGAGTTGCACGGCCCGAATGGTGATATGCACGGCCGTGCACCCTGGCCGTGCGAGTCGGGAAATCTGGTTTTAGAGCCTATTCCGAGCAAAAAGGAGGAGGATCGAATTTCTGGAGCAAAAAACAGAGTTTTAGAGAGAGAAAGTGCGAAGAACTCACCCTAGAAGCCATCTTGGAGCTGGGTTTCATCAAATCAAGCTTGGAGATCGTCCTAGGAGTGGAAATCATCATCCCGGAGTAGATTATCCTCATCATTATGAGTATGACTACTCCGATTACTGTTTTCTTTTCTCTCTCTATGGAGTAGAACCTCTCTCTCACTTGGGGATGAAGAACCCTAGTTCTATGTGTTAGGGGATTGATTGTAATGACTTGGGATGATATTACTGTTTGATTATAATCGAATGATGCATGTTTATTGAGTCAATTGAAGTCTGATCAACTTTTCCTGATTCCTGCTGCAATCTGAGATAGATAGAATCTGATTAGGTTGCTAGAGTCTCATCATTCGATAGTAGGAGACTGGTTATACGAGAGTTAGCCAGTTTACTGCTCTGTACTGGAATCTAATTCCAGTAGTGAATTTCTGTTCTTACTGCTTCAGCTTTCTATCCCGGTGAAGACTAGTCGTCTGCCGGGTAGTTAGACTGAGAGGGTTTGGTCAGCTTAAGAGATTCCAAGCTACTGCCGGATCTTCCGCAGTCTAATCAACAGTAAATCAACCCAGGGTAAATTGCAATTGAAACCTAACTAAAGAGCTAGGGGGATTCATTCCCGAGTGACTCTTTCCTGCTTAAGAAAACCGATTAATTTCCTGCTTTATTTCTGCTTTTAGTTTAAACAACAATCACTTACTCTAGTTGGCTAGATAACAGAGAATCACTGAGTAAGCAGTAGATCTAGAGCCCGGGTTGATAATATAACTTGCCTGTTACTACATTCCCGGTCTGCGATTACACTTGGTCGCAGATTGGTGTTGTGTTTTGGCGTGTCAACTATCATATGCAAAAAAATGTTTGGTGTTTGGCACAAAATTATAAATAATTTTGTTCAACATAAAATACCGACAATCATAGATGAGATTATCTTCAACTCGTAATTAAACACATTAGTTTTACAATTCTCAAATGATAACATCCAAGTAAAATAAAAATTCATCCACCATACAAGATAAATACTACTACTATTATCACTCCTCATCAGGCTCTACATCTACATAAGTCTCATCATTCTCATCGGAATTGTTGTCGGCATAGTCTTCTTCCACTTGTGACATAGTAGGACTCGAGACCAAAACATGGGTAGCAGGAGAGCTTCCACTAGGTCCTGCAGGTGCACTTGCACTCCGAGCTTGAAAAGCTGCATATACTGGATAACATAAACAATAACAACTTGTTAGAATATGACTTGATCAAGATAACAAATATAAGAATAAAGAGAAAGATTAAATCCTTACCATTTTGAAATACCACTTCATCACCCTCATCTTCTCCATCAGCCACCAACTCGGAGTCTGAAGATCTTATCCAATCTTCACAACAAATCAAAGCCTCCACAACTTCAGGGGATAAAGAGTTCCTAAACGAATCTAAAACTCGACCTCCTATGCTGAATGCCGACTCAGAAGCAACAGTGGAAATAGGAACAGCAAGAATATCCCTAGCCATCTCAGAAATAGTAGGATATTTCATCCCACTTCGCGACCACCATCCCAAGATGTCAAACTTTTATTCATCCTCTTCTGAACCCACCAATGCTCGTGTAACCACTTCATCATCCTCCTCCTCCTCAAGGTACCTATCAAACTCAGATTTTGAACTTTTTCTGGTTCCTTTCAGAATGGCATTTCTTTTCATTTTCCTGAAATCAACCCAAATCTTCCCTTTCTTCTTCCCATCCCCACTTCCACTAGGTTCTTGCTCATCTTCCTGAATCACAATGGGAGAACTGCCATGAATTCCGAGTTTATGCTTGTAATGGTCAAACAGAAGACGCATTTCATCTTTCACCTCTTCGACCAAAGCTTTACCCCTGCTCTCACCATATACCTTTTTAAAGCTTGTTCAAGATATTCAACTTTCCGCCTAGGATCTAATATGACTGCCATATAACACAACCGATTCATCTTGGAATTCTCCAACTCATCTTCAAACCAATACTTGGCAAGTTTGGACTTGATTCTATCAGCCATGCAAGACACCTCAAAATCTATACCATCAGCCCACTCAGATATCATAGTATACATTTCATATACCTCATCAAACAGGAGGTGTAAAGTCACATATGAAGTCCCAGAAACTCGAACAGTCAAATCATAGAATAGCTTCAGGTAATCAATCAACCGTCCCACACTAGACCAATCATCAGAAGTTGTGATACCAAGGCTTTCATTTCCATATTTTTTTTCATTGAGATGTTTGTTGAATTTCTTATCATTTCTAGCTAATGTCTGAAATGCTTTCTCAAATGGCTTTGCAGATTCCAACATCAGATACGTTGAGTTCCACCTTGTAGCTACATCCAACGAAACAAATTTCTTCGACACTATATTTTCAAACTCAATGCAATCTTTAAATTTTCAGCTCCTAGCTGGTGTAGCTTTAACCCACTTCACAGACTCTCTCACTCGCTCCACAGATTTACCAGTTTCTTTAAGCCCATCCTTCACAGCCAAATTAATAATGTGAGCCACACACCTCATCTGCAGATATTTTCCATCCAAAATATATGATCCCCACTCTTTCAACTGTTCCTTCATATGGATAGCAACCACATCATTGACACTAGCATTGTCCATTGTTATACAAAACACCTTCCTAATGCCCCACTCCACCAAACAACTAGCCAACTGTTTTCCAATTTCACTTCCAGAATGTTTTGTAACTTGGACAAAGTTAATAATTCTTTTATGCAATTTCCAATCTCTACCAATGAAATGAGCAGTAATGCAAATATAATTGAGATTGGACAAAGAAGTCCAAGTATCAGTGGTGAGCGATACCATCCCTAAACACTTAGTCATGAAATAATCCTTTAGCAACTCTCTATTTTCAAAGAACACCTTGATACAATCCTCTCTAACGGTCTGACGGCTAGGTAACACAAACATTGGACAAACACGAGCCATAAACCGTTTGAACCCTTCATGTTCAACATACCTAAATGGTAATTCATCTATGATAATCATCTCCACTAAAGCTCTCCTAGCATCAATCTGATCGAATTTCCAAGTCCCAAGAGTGTGCAGGAGCAGGAGCAGGATCGGAAGACGGTGCAGGAGCAGGAATGTTGGTACTCTTAGAGCATCCTCCACGTCTAGGATGAGAAGCCGATGGTGCCTCACTTTGTTAGAAACAAATAATTTGCAGCTTTTGGTCAATTCGCTTTATTTGTCGGTTTTGTTAATTGGGGGATTATTTGGGGAATATGGGCAATAAACTGGGAGTCGATTGTTAAGTTTTATTTGTTGGGTAGGAGATAGGAATTATGCGGATTATATAATCTGCAGTAGGAGTTATTTTCTCATTAAGCAATAAAATATCAAAAACCCTAAACCTACTCTCTCTCTCTCTTTCTCTCCCTCCTGCGTCCCTTTTCCCCCTTCTTCTTCCCGAACTCTGCAGCAGCCGATCTCCCTCTTCCCCTCTCTAATCCCAATTTCCTAAATTCTAATCCCTAGCTCGGTCAATCCCTAATTGATCTAGCTATTCTCCTCATTCCCTAATCTGTTAGAAACTTTGTTTCTAACATCTGGTATCAGAGCCTGGCTCGAGAGTGAGTTCTTTTGAGCTCTTGAACCAGGGAAGGTGGCAATGGTATCGACGAAGTCAATGAAGGCAACAGAGAAAGCGGCTCAGGCAGCCGAGAAAGGCACTGAGGCGGGTGATGTAGGGCTCGACGGGGAGTTGGAGGATCTCACGGAGATCGAAGGGCTGAGGAAGGTCGTGGAGACGCAGGCAGAGAGGCAGGCGAGGGTCGAGGAAGAGCTGAACGGGTTGCAGGTGCAAGCCAGAGATCACGGCCGCACTCCCAACGCGTTGTTGGCGGCGGTGGAGGCGCTGCAGGGGCAGGTGAGCAGTCTGACGGAGGCTTGGAAGAGAGGCGGGGCAGCGGTTGGAGATGGCGAGAAGCCGCCGGAGGAGAGGGGCGCGGTGGAAGAGTCCGCCTCAGTGGCGGCGGTCGGCGGCCAGGGAGCCGAGAAGGGTTCGGCGGAGGGGGGGCAGCGGCAAGCAACCCTAGCCGACCCCCTGTTTCGCGTCCGGGCCAAGTCTCGTTCGGCCCAACAATCAAGGATGGGCTTTTGCCTACTCCATCGGCCCAGGAGATGGCTCGTGCGCGTGGCAAGGCCAAGATGGTCGAGTACGTGGATCTGGGCTCGCACGCGGGCCTGAACTTGGAGGAGCTGGTTGACCCGGAGCAGGAGAGGGATCGCGGGCCTTGGCCCAACGAGCAGAGTGGGCTGGGTGCGGATGGCTGGAGAGAGGAAGGCAGCTTGATGGGCCGAGCCCAGTGGGAAGGCGGACCAGGAGGAGGCTGGAGGGAGTCGGGCCGCGCGTGGGAGTCGGGCCGGCCGGGGGCAGCGGGCCGAAATCAACCGGGCTGGGGTGACTGGGGTCGAGCAGGGGCGAGCCGGGTCCCAGGAGGTCGGGCCGAAACTGGTCGGACCGAACCCTGTCGAACCAAACCTGGTCGAACCGAAACTGGCCGGCCCATGGTTGAACCGGTCCAACCGGCAGGGCATCTTAACCAGGCGGACAGCAGGGGCTACCCGGGGCCGCATGGTCAGTTTGACGAGTATTATGGGCCCTTTCCTTCTTCTGCACTTCAGCGGGGCGCCGGGAAGGAATCCAGGAGAATGTGGACGGGGGATCGAAGGCCGAAGAGTGAGTTAAGCGGAAGGGTCGGGTACCAGGAGGATGAGGGAGACGACTGGGGGTGTGACGGGGATCCGCGGTTCACCCAACACTACCACAGCGGGGGCCCAAGTGGTGGAAGGAAAACCGGTCATTTCCGGGGTGGGGAGGAAGAGGATGATATGGTGTTTCGAGCTCGGCCTCCCACTATTGAGTTCCCGAAGTACAATGGTCGTGAGGATGCAGGACTGTGGCTGTACTCAGCTGAGCGATGGTTCAAGAACCACCCCACTAGGGAAGAACGAAAGGCTCAACTAGCGTCCTTCTATCTGGAGGGAGATGCCCTGCAGTGGTGGGAGTGGATGGAGCGGACCTATGCCGAGGCTCATACGCTAATTACTTGGCCGATGTTTAAGGAGGAGTTGCGGTATCAGTTCGGGAAATCTTAAGGGTGGGCTCCGGAGCAGCTGGCCAAGCTGCGCCAGACAGGGACGGTGGCGGACTATAGGGCCGAGTTCTTCAAGCTGGGTAACCAATGCAAGGGTGTCCCAGAGGAGACATTGGTGGGCCTGTGCATGGCGGGACTCCGACCGGAGATTGCAGCGCCTGTCCGAGTATTTGAGCCAGATTCACTGCGAGTTGTTTTCCGTCTTGCAGGTAATAAGGAGGAGGAACTGGCTAGCTGGCGGGGCGTGATAGGCCGGTATCAGAAGTCGAGCGGAGGAGGAAGTGGTAGCGGGCCGAGTAGCGGGCCAGGGGTCCCGGCGCCGGGTCCTGGCACAGGAAGGGGTGCGATGACTGGGCCACCCACCGCGGCTATCCGGGCGGGACCGAGGGCACCGCCCAAGGGGTTTACTAGGCTATCACCTGGCGAGATCGAGCTGAAGAGGCGGGAAGGAAAATGTTTTAATTGTGACGAAAGGTTCACCTTTGGTCACAAATGCGGGAAACCTGATCTAATGTTCTTGGTAGGGCGCTGGGAAGATGAGGCCGAGGACGAAACCGCAGAGGATCCTGGAGCGGGGCAAGAGAAGCTTCAACCTTGAGGACAAGGTTGCTTTCCAAGGAGGCAGGGATGTTAGAAACAAATAATTTGCAGCTTTTGGTCAATTCGCTTTATTTGTCGGTTTTGTTAATTGGGGGATTATTTGGGGAATATGGGCAATAAACCGGGAGTCGATTGTTATGTTTTATTTGTTGGGTAGGATATAGGAATTATGCGGATTATATAATATGCAGTAGGAGTTATTTTCTCATTAAGCAATAAAATATCAAAAACCCTAAACCTACTCTCTCTCTCTTCCTCTCCCTCTTGCGTCCCTTTTCCCCCTTCTTCTTCCCCAACTCGGCAGCAGGCGATCTCCCTCTTCCTCTCTCTAATCCCAATTTCCTAAATTCTAATCCCTAGCTCGGTCAATCCCTAATTGATCTAGCTATTCTCCTCATTCCCTAATCCGTTACAAACTTTATTTCTAACACACTTCCCTTGTCAAAATGAAAAGTTGAGTTGAGTTAAAGCCTGGAATTATTAGTATATGAAAGCATGTATTAGTAACGAATAGAAAATGGATGATTAGAGGGATGAAAATGAAATCTTGTCATATATGCTTGTCCTACACAATATACAAATAGGGTCCATCACTTTAACAACCATACGAATCAGGATTAGATACACTACTGGATCAAGTTATGAATAAGTGATTTGCAGCTTCAACTTTGAAAACTCTGCTCATTATAGCAACAGCAAAGAAAGAAAAAAAATTCTCGGCCTATACAATATACAAATAGGGTCCATCACTTTAACAATCATACGAATCAGGATTAGATACACTACTGGATCAAGTTATGAGTAAGTGATTTGCAGCTTCAACTTTGAAAACTCTGCTCATTATAGCAACAGCAAAGAAAGAAAAAAAAAATGCTTTCGCTAGCTAACTCAAAAGAAGGTCTCAGGCCAAGTGAAAATAAAGTCGTCAGAGGGCAGCTTTTGCTGGACTGCAATTGCACGTTTGAGATCAACAACTCTGGCATTGTCTTCTTCCACGTTAACCATCCCAAATGTCAGGTCTGCTCTCCATAACCATGCTCCTCTTCTACTTTCTACTTTCTCTCCTCTTCTACTTTCTACTGATCAACAACTCTGG